CCCAATCCAGTCAGCAGCTCCTCCGACGCCGGCGCAAGCTTCGAGCCCGGCTCCAATTCAATTGGCAGCTGTGCAAGCTTCGAGCCCGCCTCCAATTCAACCCACAGCTCCTTCAAATCTGGTTCAAGCTGAGAGCCCGGCCCCAATCTATTTGGCTCCAAAGCCAGTTCGTGCAACATGCCGCGGCAGATCACCCTCTCCCTTCACAGTTGGCACCAGGAGGTCTCCTCAGCTGATAGCTTCATCTGGTATGTCCCCTGCTTGATAGTAATGATTCAACATCTAAATCCCAGTAGATGATCATCCTTCGACTCCCACTAATGAAGACCCGCAATAATCACATACTCCATATTTTGTAATGCCTCTTCTTATCTTGTAACTTCTTGTCAATATAAAGGTTTTTTGTGTCATGTTCTTTGTAAAAGAGAAAAAGAAGTACTGCAATCTTGAAGAAATAAAACTAATCTGAGGGGTAAGCGTTAGAGGGTGACATTCAAGAAACTCTGGCAAAGTGCTTTACCTTGGCTGGGTCAACTGCTTAGGTCGAAGCCACAATGTGCTTCATGGTAGTATGTTCGAAAGGCCGGATTGTGTTCAAAAATTATCAATTTAGAAACGAAGATATCACCTTTGGGACTTGAACCCCAGTCCTGACTATCGGCTGCTGTAAAATCTACTGACCGATGTTGTCTTGGACAAGTGAATTTGCCTATAAAGATAACATGGTAGAAATATAAACTGAGCAGGAACAACTGGGTCTGGCTCAAGCAACCGTGCTCGGCTGCCTAAAATAAAAGCGAAGGGGAAAACAGATACCGATCCATCTTGAAAAGGGGTAAAAGGTTGGCTGATCCAGAGTTCATGAATTGTCCAGTTTCGTTGGCCGACTGGGTAGCACTAGTAGCTACCACTTTTATGATAAAATACAGGCAAGTGCCTGCACACCGACATCCACACTGCCTAATGAATTTATGAAATGAGAAGAGTAGGCAAAACTTATGAAATGTACTTCATTTCTTTACCAGTGCTTCTCATGACTATTTCATAACTGTCCTGAGACATATTTCAATACTACTTCATTGCAATTTCATTACTGCCTGTCCTTCCATTTCATTGTCTACCCAGCATTGTTTCATTGCTATTTCATTCTTGCCTGACTTTTAATTTCATTGCCTACCCAGCCTAATTTCATTGCCTTTTCATATCCTGGCCTGGGCTACTTCATATTCATTTCATATCCCTGCCTGGGCAGTCTCATATCCCTGCCTGGGCAATTTCATATCCCTGCCTGGGCAATTTCATATCCCTGCCTGGGCAATCTCATATTCATTTCATTTCTTGCCTGAGGCAATTTCATATCCCTGCCTGGGCAATCTCATATCCCTGCCTGGGCAATTTCACATCCTTGCCTGGGCAATCTCATATTCATTTCATTTCTTGCCTGAGGCAATTTCATATCCCTGCCTGGGCAATTTCATATCTATTTCATTCCCTGCCTTGGGCTATTTCATATCAATCTCATATCCCTGCCTGGGCTATTTCATACCTACCCTACTGCATTTATCATTGCCCCCTCAGAATGTCAGGCACTGCCTTCAGGGTCCATTTCAGGGTCCATCCCAAAGAGGAAACATCACCTGGTTTGACCAAAAGTGAAGAAAACCAAGAGGAGAATGTTTTTACCTATCAGGGTCCATATAATGGGATGTTGGGATGATGGTCACATGACCAATTACCAAAAATGGTCAAAAATGAAAGTTGTAGCCCTACACTATAGCTACCCAAATCTGTTTGAATTATGTTCTAAAGTGCTCCCATTGTGAAGATATGAGGTAAAAAAAATTCAAAAGTGTTGCTTTTTTTTGTTTTTTTTTTTTGTTTTTTGCATTTTTATCCATGAAAACAAAACCAAACAACCTGATTTCAGTATATTTGGAAAGCTAAAAGAAAGGGCTACAATTATTGTATCATGGGAAAATGACCAAAAAAGGAAGGTGCATGCCCTAGAAAAGAAATTGACACTGACAAACTATAATAGTCAGATATAGACTACCATAGACTACCAAAAAGTCGGACATAGACTACAAAGTTTACTGATAGCCAGACTTAGACTACAAGGTTTACTGATAGACTACAAAAGTCAGACTTAGACCACAAAGTTTACTGATACACTACAAAAGTTGGACATAGACTACAAAGTTTACTGATACACCACAAATAACTACAACAGTCTGACATAGACTACAATGTTTACTGATACACAAAAGACTACAAAAGTCGGACTTAGACTACAAATTTTACTGATAGACTACAAAAGACCACAAAAGTCAAAAACTTGTACTTAGACTACAAAGTTAGTAGTGTCCGCTTGTTGAGACTACAAAAGCTTGTAGTGTGCACTTTTTCATTAGAAAGGTTTGTAGTATCCACTTTTTGAGACTACAAAAGTTTGTAGTGTGCGCTTATTCATTAGAAAAGTTTGTAGTATCCACTTTTTGGGACTACAAAAGTTTGTAGTTGACATGTAGTTTATGGTGTTCTTGGCTCTGTCCAGATTATGGGGGTGAGGTTGAAGGGTTGACATGATCTTACTTACATATTACCAATGCTGCTGCATTAGTTTTTGACATCATGCACAAGTTGTCTTTCACATTAGGAAAGGCTATCCTATGCCTTCATAATGGCACCTACTGTCCTATCTCAAAATATAATTATTATAAGTTCATGTGGGGATATGGCTGAAGGAATACCATGACTTTACATATTGCTATTGCCACATCACCACTTTTTGACATCATGGCCAAGTTGGCTTTCACTTCAGGACAGGCTATTCTCTGCTTTCACATTGATAGTTACTGGTCTGTCTGCTTTCACATTGATAGCTACTGGCCTGTCCCAAACTTTGATATCAGCTCTTTGAGAGCTATAGAATGATGGGCTGATTCATCCTTGGAGGTGTCCTTAAGTTAGGTCATGTTGTAAGTTGACCATGTATTGAGACAGAACAGTAGTAGTGTTGCCGCAGCTCGGCTAGCCGCAAGCCGGCTCGCTGAACCGGCGGCTTTTGCCGGTTCCGGTTTGTGGATCACTCGAAAGCTGATCAAGTCCGGTTCGGCTCGGCTTAGTTGGTGGCTTTGAACCGGTTATAGCCGGTAAATGATTGCCGCAATTGATGACTCACGCGTTAAGTAGAATGAGGTTAAATTTGTAATAGAATTTGAGACAAATGCATTTTGTGATAAGTAAAATATATTGAACAAGCTATCAATCCTCGTCATCCTGTCCAATAACGTGAATTACCTCATCAATATCTATACCATCCTCCGTAATTTCTGAAGTTAGCTTCCCTAACAAATCCACTGAATCTTCGTTGTCATCTGTGTAGTACTCGAGTTCGTCTTCTGTGACAGCCCATCCCTCCGTAAAGTTTAGCCGTTGCTGCTTGAGCGAAAACTTTAACATTTGAAGCGCCTCCATTAGAACAGTGTGGATTCAATTTTGCCGCTTTGTATCAGTTTCGGCACTGGATGAAAAAACGCGCTCGGAAGGAACCGAGGAGGCTTGAATGGGCAAATAATCTAATGCCATCGTGTACAATGTTGGATGAGTTTTATCACTTATCTACAAAAAAATCAGTGGGGCAAATTAGAAAATAGTGAGAGACTATACTTACCACCCAAAACCCTACAATATCTGTGCCACGCGGTGAGAGCGGCCCACTTTCGTACAACTCAAATTGTTCTTCAACACCTTGGACCTGCTGCGAAGAAGCACCTGTAACGTCCATCATATCTTCGAGCCCGTATTGTCCAGCTAAATCATGCCAGCTTCGCCTCTCTTGCTGCGAGGCTGCTGTACCAGGTGTAGGTTGTTGAACTTGTCCATGAAGACGGTCATGGTATTTTCGCATCTGGAACAAGTATATTAGGTTACTGTCACCGTAACAAACTGAGACACTTACAGTATTTTTTATAATTACGGTGGCCCTGGCAACGTAATTAGGCTCCCAGTGTCGTCGAATCCATGACAATCGTATTGAGGGATTGAGAACTGATGATGTCAAGTTATTGAATGATCTATGAATTTGAACCTTAACTCACACATCGCAATAACGTAGGCAGGCGAATCATCCATTTT